GCAGGTACCCACCCATCATGGCAGTAACGAACAGGCAGAACCAAGGCCGCCCCAATGGGCCCGGTGGGGTCCTACTCGGCCCACCCGCCTCAAAGGGGGAGGCCTCGCAGAGGGCGCAATGGGGCCCACCCCCTCCCCGTTTATCCGTTACCTTTGCCTGCCGCAATGTTGCTGAAGCGAATCTGGGTGGGCTTGTCCCGGTCCTGGTACGAGCCGCGGTTCCCGCCCGAGCTCCCGCGGTTCCCCGGGGCGGCGTTCATGAGGCTCCCCTTAGCACTCAAGTTCTCCGGCATGACGGCGCCCGGCCTCCCCTCTGCAGCCCCCGATGGAGACGGATTGCCTTCTCCCCCCGGCGCCCTCACGAAGCTTCCAGAAAGCGCCGAGCCTTAGACAGAGAGCGAAGGACCCTTCAACAGGCGCTCACTGTACCGCCGGACGTGACGTCACCCAGAAGGGCTGTCTTCCGCAGCTGCCTTTCCTCCAGAGTCAAGAATGTTTCCAATCATGCGCGGGGAGGAGGGAGAGCGGCGCTTGCAGGAGGGGCTCGCGGGGGAATGTGAGTGAAAACAGGCAGTGCAGTAGCCTCCTAAACCCAGGGCTCTTCTACACTGCCATAAAAGGCAGAATATCAAGACAGATAATCCACATTATCTGCTTTGAACTACATTATCTGAGTCTACACTGCCAGATAATCCAGTTCAAAGCAGATAATCTGGATTTTTTAAACAGATTTTTAAAGGCACCCCAGAGAACTTCATTATTAAGGACTCTGTGGCCCCTTTCTACACTGCCACATAAACCACTCCATATTTTAATGCATTTTAGCTGTTTAGGTACGAAAGCTTACTGGCACAACCTGGGGATCACAACCAGACACAGTGAAGACATCCGCCCTTGCGCTATGCTACTCTGCTGCTGAGTACGCATGCCCAGTGTGGAACACATCTCACCACACTAAAACAGTAGATGTGGCTCTTAATGAGACATGCCGCATTATCACGAGGTGTCTGCGCCCTACACCACTGGAGAAATTACACTGCTTAGCTGGTATTGCACCACCTGACATCCGCCAGGAAGTAGCAGCCTATAGTGAAAGGACCAAGGCAGAGACATCTCCAGCTCATCCTCTGTTTGGGTATCAGCCAGCACGTCAATGACTTAAATCAAGAAATAGTTTTCTAAGATCTACAGAGACACTCGCTGGAACACCTCAGCAAGCGAGAGTCCAAAAGTGGCAGGCTCAAACCCAGAACCTCAACCAATGGCTGATACCAAATGAGAGACTCCCCCCTGGGCACACATAGGACTGGGCGACTTGGAAGGCGCTGAACAGACTGCGCTCTGGCACCACGAGATGCAGAGCCAACCTTCAGAAATGGGGCCACAAAGTGGAATCCACGACATGCGAGTGCGGAGAAGAGCAAACCAGACCACCTGCTGCAATGCAACCTGAGCCCTGCCACATGCACAATGGAGGACCTTCTTGCGGCAACACCAGAGGCACTCCAAGTGGCCAGATACTGGTCAAAGGACATTTAATCAACTACCAAGCTTGCAAACTCTGTGTCTTTTGTAGTTTGTTTGTTTGTTCTGTCAAAAATGTAATACAACTGTTTGGTTGCCTGACACGATAAATAAATAAAATAAATAAAAATATAACTGAGACATGGTTTCTCAACAAGAGCAGACATCAGAACATCAAGGCAGAATATCCCACAATATCTGTTTGAACTGGATTATCTGAGGGCTCTTCCACACAGCCCTATATCCCAGAACATCAAGGCAGAATATCCCCCAATATCTGTTTGAACTGGATTATCTGAGGGCTCTTCCACACAGCCCTATATCCCAGAACATCAAGGCAGAATATCCCACATTATCTGCATTTGGACTCGGATAACCCAGTTCAAAACAGATATTGTTGGTTTTCAGCTTTGATATTCTAGGATATAGGGCTATGTGGAAGGGCCCTTAGTTTTTTATTATGTTGGTAAATGTGTAATTAAATATATTATGTTTATTTAAGTTTCCTTTCAAATCTATGATACTATATCTCTCTGTATTTGATGACGAGCGCGTCCCAGGCCCCTGCTTTCAAGTTAATCTGACCTGCTGCAGGGAGTTCCGCAGTTCCAGGATGCCAGGCAGGGTTGCTTAAAAATCAGGCTTCTCTTGGCTCGGCAAGGTAGCGTTCCCTCTTTGGTGGGTCCGCAGGGTCTCTCCTCCTGGGGCAGACCCTCCTAAAGTTCCTATCAACTTCATGTGTAAATCATATATATCTATCTATATTTATGACTGGATGGCTCTTTGTCAGGAGGGCTTTGATTACGTTTTCTTGCCCTGGTGAAGGGAGTTGGACTGGGTGACCTTAAGTATTTTCTGCTGGTCATCAAGGTTCTGTGTGGGAAGTTTGCCCCAATTCTGTTGTTGGTGGGGTTCAGAATGCTCTTTGATTGTACTAGTAGTTGTTTCTCATTCGCTCAGTCGCTTCCGACTCTTCGTAACCTCATGAACCAGCCCACGCCAGAGCTCCCTGTGGAGTCACCACCCCCAGCTCCTTCAATATCAAGCCAGTCACTTCAAGGATGCCATCCTTCCATCTTGCTCTTGGTCGGCCCCTCTTCCTTTTTCCTTCCGTTTTCCCCAAATCCCAGTAACTACAACTCCCAAATGCCAAGGTCTATTTCCCTCAAACTCCATCTGTGTTCATATTTGGGCATATGGAATATTCGTGCCAAGTTTGGTCCAGATCCATCATTGTTTGAGTCCACAGTTCTCTCTGGATAGGTGAACTACAACTCCCAAACTCAAGGTCAATGCCCACCAAACCCTTCTAGTGTTTTCTGGTTCATGGGTGTTCTGTGTGCTAAGTTTGGCCCAGTTCCATCATTGGTGGAATTTAGAATGCTCTTCGATTGTAGGTAAACTATAAATCCCAGCAACTACAACTCCCAAATGACAAAATCAATTTTTGAGTGATGGTCACTCCTTGGGTTAGTAGGTGTCTTGTGGCCAAATTTGGCGGCAATTCGTCCAGTGGTTTTGAGTTATGTTAATCCCACAAAACATTACATTTTTATTTATATAGACTAGCCATTCCCTGCCACGCGTTGCTGTGGCCCAGTCTGATTATCTGGGTGTACTAGCAGAGGCGGCCCTAGGTAATTTTCAACGGTAAGCAAACAGTATTTTGCCCCCCCCCCCCACCAATCACTGATATATATTTTCTGTTCGTCGTGGGAGTTCTGTGTGCCATATTTGGTTCAATTCCATCATTGGTGGAGTTCAGAATGCTCTTTGATTGTAGGTGAACTATACATCCCAGTAACTACAACTCGCATGTGTCAAGGTCTATTTTCCCCCAAGAGCGCCTCAAGAGCACCCCTGGGCAAAATCAACTATACTGCAAATGCTTACTTTGTGTAATGGGTTGAGCCGCCCTGACTATAGATTTAAATCATTAAAAGTGTGTGTGTATTATTGTGTGTGTGTGTGTGTGTATATATGTGTGCATATATTTGTGTATTTGTGTGTTTATATGTGTACATGCATATTGTGTATATGTATGTGCTTGTCTACATGCATATTTGTGTGTATATATGTATGTATGTGGATATGTATATATGTATGTGTGCATGTATATGTGCATGTGTATATGTATATATGTATGTGTGGATATGTGTATATCTGTTTTTGTGCATACATATACGTGTGTGTGTATGAATGTGTGCATATGTATATGAGTGTATGTGTATATGTATATATGGTGTATTTTGGGGGGTTTTAAGTTTGTTCTACTGGGGTTTTGTGTGTGTGTGTGTGTGTGTGTTTATAAGTGATGGACACTCGTTGGCCTGATAAGTGTCTTGTGTCCAAATTTCGTGTCAATTCGTCCAGTGGTTTTTGAGTTCTGTTAATCTCACAAACGAACATTACATTTTTATTTATATATTATTATTAACTTTATTTATACCCTGCAAAATCTCCCGAAGGTCTCGATGCGGCTTACAAAGGCCAAGGCCGCCGCCAACAACAACATACAAATATCACAATAAAACTCATAAGCAAATAGTAAAACATCAAGCAAAACAATAAAACACTAAAACAATGACATCATGACGCATTAAAACCTAAAGGACGGGCCAAATGTAATGGACAAAATTTAAAAGTGCTGAACTTGACAGGAGGTATGTAGCAGTTTTTGGAGATAAGTGCAATGTGCAGACAATCCTGGGCTCTGACAAAGTGCATTTGGGACATGATGCCAGGAGTTTCCTAATCTGGGAAGGCACACTGGAACAGCCAGGTCTTCAGGCTCTTCATAAAGATTGCCAGCGTTGGGCCTTGTCCGATGTCCTTGGGGAGAGAGTCGGGGGGCCACCACAGAGAAGGCCCTGTCCCTCATTCCCACCAAACGAGCTTGCGACGCAGATGACCGAAGGGAATGTGTGGGTTCGTATATGGAGATGTGGTCACGCAGGTAGGCGGGTCCCAAACCGTTTAGGTCTTTGTAGGTGAGCACCTGCACCTTGAATTGGGACCGGAAGATGAACGGCAGCCAGTGGAGCTCCTTAAACAGGAGGGTTGACCTCTCTCTGTAAGGAGCGCCAGTTAACAGCCTGGCCGCCGACCGTTGGACCAATGGAATTTCCGAGCTGTTTTCAAGGGTAGCCCCACGTAGAGTGCATTACAGTAGTCCAATCTAGAGGTGACCAGACTCAGATAATCCAGTTCAAAACAGATAATGTGGACCCTTGTTTTAAAGTATAAACAGAACTGTGATATGCTTTTAGTATTAGCGATATCTCTTAATTATGTAATGTAAAGAGTAAAACAAAATGTTTCAAAGTTGTACAAGCATTGCAAAACTGAGACCAAAAAGGGGATCCAGACGTCCCCAATCCTGCACGTCTGGCTTCCTCCTTTTTCTCGTTGTTTTGTCTCAGCGACGCCAGCAGGGGTCGCCAGAGGCGCAGCTCGCCGAGCAGGTTCGCTCGCGGGTCCCTTTCAAAGTTTGTCCGCGCTGGGCTCCCGTCCTTAAAGGAGACGCTGCAAGTGTCCTAACTGTCATGGCGGCCCCCGCGGAGCCCACTCAGGCCGAGGCGGCCAAGCCTCTCCTGGGGCTCCTCAATGGCGTCGCTCAGGCCACCTTCTACGGGAACGCGGAGATCACGGAGGCGCTCCTGAGGGAGCAGCTCTTCCCGGACATGGCGCCGCAAGAATTCGGAGTCCTGCTGGCCAAAATGACGGGCATCGTCAAGGTAACGGTGGGCGGGGCCGGCAGGTTGGCCTGGCAACGGACCTTTTCCTGGAGGAGGAAAGACCGGCTCCTTGAACCCTCAGCTCAGTGTGGGGGTCATCCAAAATATGGTTTTTAGGCACCAGCCTTTTGCACAAATCTGTTAGCAACAAGATGTAGAGTTTACAGGAAATGCTTCAGCTGTAGTTCATGCAAAGGAAAAGCCGCCTGTTAGCAAGCTTAGCAACTTTGGTTACATTCAAACTGGACTATTGCAATGCGCTCTACGTGGGGCTGCCCTTGAAGACGGCCCAAAGTTTGAACAGGTACAACGGGCGGCAGCCAGGCTCCTTACTGGAGCAAACTATAGGGAGCATACAACACCCCTATTAAAACAGCTTCATTGGCTGCCCATAAGTTGCCGAGCCAAATTCAATTTTTTTTTATTTGTTGTGTCAGAGCAACCAGTCCATTATATTATATTTTTAACAGAACAAAGCAAACAAACAGAAAAATACAAAACTTGTGAGTTTGGTAGTTGGTTAAATGTCCTTTGACCAGTATCTGGCCACTTGGAGTGCTTCTGGTGTTGCTGCAAGAAGGTCCTCCATTGTGCATGTGGCAGGGCTCAGGTTGCATTGCAGCAGGTGGTCAGTGGTTTGCTCTTCTCCACACTCACATGTCGTAGATTCCACTTTGTAGCCCCATTTCTGAAGGTTGGCTCTGCATCTCGTGGTGCCAGAGCGCAGTCTGTTCAGCGCCTTCCAAGTCGCCCAGTCTTCTGTGTGCCCAGGGGGAGTCTCTCATTTGGTATCAGCCATTGGTTGAGGTTCTGGGTTTGAGCCTGCCACTTTTGGACTCTTGCTTGCTGAGGTGTTCCAGCGAGTGTCTCTGTAGATCTTAGAAAACTATGTCTAGATTTAAGTAGTTGACGTGCTGGCTGATACCCAAACAGGGGATGAGCTGGAGATGTCTCTGCCTTGGTCCTTTCACTATTGGCTGCTACTTCCCGGCGGATGTCAGGTGGTGCAATACCGGCTAAGCAGTGTAATTTCTCCAGTGGTGTAGGGCGCAGACACCCTGTGATAATGCGGCATGTCTCATTAAGAGCCTCATCCACTGTTTTAGTGTGGTGAGATGTGTTCCACACTGGGCATGCATACTCAGCAGCAGAGTAGCATAGCGCAAGGGCAGATGTCTTCACTGTCTGGTTGTGATCCCCAGGTTGTGCCAGTCAGCTTTCGTATGATATTGTTTCTAGCTTTATTCAGGGTGCAGGTCATGACCTATAAAGCCCTAAACGGTTTGGGCCCCGCCTATCTCTGTGATCTCATCTCCTTCTATGAATCGGCACAAACTCTAAGATCTTCCGGGGAGGCCCTCCTCTCGGTCCCACTACCGTCTCAAGCATGGGGACGAGAGAGAGGGCCTTCTCAGTAGTGGCCCCCCGTCTCTGGAACGCCCTTCCAAGGGAAATAAGACAGGCCCCATCCTTCCCCTCCTTTCGTAAGAGCTTGAAGACCTGGTGGTTTCAACAAGCATTTGAAAATGACCAGTTCTAACTCAGCCCCACACATTGTCTAATACGGCCTTATTCCTACCAGTTACCCAGATTCTTTCCTTTAATCGGCCCTGGAATGAACAGCCACAGACCCATACCTAATATTATTGTTGCCTGCCATAGCATTGCACTTAATTCCCGGGCCACCTAGAATTTTTGGGCTTGCACAAATCTTGGCCCGGCCTTTTAAATTTTTTAATTGCCTTGAACAGGCAGGATTACTTTTAATATATGTGTGTTATGGAGACAATTTTTATGCTTATTTTTGTTTTGTTAATCTTATGGTTATGTTGTTTTTTTACTTTGTATGTTTTGTGATGTTACCTGGGAACCACTCTGAATCCTCTCTGAGAGATGGAGCAATATATAAATAAAGTTTTATTATTATTATTATTACTGCTCATTCATTGGGAGTAAATGTTTGGTTTTTATTCCAGTTCCCCTATGACCTCATCACATTGAGCGGGGAAAAGCACAGGTGACCCTCCCTTTGAGGTTGATAATCGCCCCTCTTATTTCATAGAATCAAAGAGTTGGAAGAGACCTCATGGGCCATCCAGTCCAACCCCCTGCCAAGAAGCAGGAATATTACATTCAAATCACCCCTGACAGATGGCCATCCAGCCTCTGTTTAAAAGCTTCCAAAGAAGGAGCCTCCACCACACTCCGGGGCAGAGAGTTCCACTGCTGAACGGCTCTCACAGTATTTCCTCAGCAGTCTCCTTTCCAGTTCTGCCTCCCTATCACACTCAGATGTGGATACAAGAGACAATGCTCCAAACTAAAACCATTGTTTTCCATAGGATCCTATTCTGTCCCAAAGCCCATGGGATACAAGAGACTGCTGACAGTTGGGCAATAAGACAGAATGGGAAACTTTTGATGGTTTCCATCCCACCTGTTTTTCAGTTATAAACATGGGAGTAAAGTGTGATAAAAGGTTGGAGCTCTGAACACAATTGCTGGCCCATGTTCATACATTTCAGGACATTTCTGCCTCTTTTCAGCCTTGGAACATGTGATGATCTCTGTGCTTCTTCCTGCTTGGAAAGAGGCTGAAGTGTCCTACGAGGGGAAAAATACTCAGTGTGATGACATCAACTTGCCAGAGTTCCCACCTTTCAGGACACTTCAGCCTCTTTTCAGCCATGGAGGGCTATGTATGACAGTCAGAAGTAGTTTAACTCATGTGATGAGGTCAGTGCCTTTCTATGTTTGAATAGAGGCTGAAGTGTCCTACAACTGGGAAATTTCTCAATGTGATAAAGTGGCTAAACATTTTCAGGCTGAAAACAATTGCAAGTGGGAAACCTTTAGGAAGCCTTTAAACAAAGGCTAGGTGGCCATCTGTCAGGGGTGCTTTGATTGTGCTTTTCCTGCCTGGCAGGGAGTTGGACTGGATAGCCCCTGTGGTCTATTCCAGCTCTTTGATGCTAAGTCCTGGTTTAGATCACATTTTGTTAGCTTCTTTATGAGAATGTCACAAGAAATCTTGTCAAAGGCCTCAAGGAAATTGAGATTCCCTTCATCTAACCAAGCTTGTATCTCTGTTATCTGATTTGATTTTCACAGATGAACACTCGAAGTTGATTTTGAGAAGCCCATGATGACTTTTCATGAGTATGACATTCATTTCTAAGTGCTTCCAGATAATATCAGGCTGACTGGGTGGTCTGTGTTTGACTCCTCTTTCTTCCTCTTTTTGAAGATGGGGACATTTGTCTTCCTCCATTCTGTTGAGATGTTTCCTGTTTTCAAGAAATTCCCTAGGGCAGATTTATTTGTTTATTTATATTTATTAATGTTATTTCTATCCTGCTTTTCTCAATCAGAAAGGTGGCTCATGGCGTCTTAACAATCAGGCAGCCATTTGATGCCTTAACAATATACACTTAAAACCACATTTAAAACACAATTTAAAAGTACATACAGTAAGACCTTTAAAAAACATATTAAACCAATTTATAAACCAATACCTTCACTGTTAGCTTCATTGTCCAAAATCATCGTCTGAGCAGTTCTAGAATTTCACATAATTCCATGTTTTTCTATTGCATTAGATTTCAAAGGCTTGTTCATATAGTCACATTTCCACTCTTTTTTTGGAAGGTCAGGAGGGAGGGGCCAATCTAATATCCCTAGGGAGGGAATTCCACAGCCGAGGGGCCACCACTGAGAAGACCCTGTCTCTTGTCCCTGCCAGCCGCACCTACGAAGAAGGCGCGACTGAAAGCAGGGCCTCCCCAGCTGATAAGCTCCTAGGTGGTTCATAAGGAGAGATACATTCAGACAGGTAAGCTGATCGGAACCGTTTAGGGCTTTATAGGCTAAAGCCAGCATTTTGGATTGTCTTCAGTAGCAAACTGGAAACCAGTGGAGCTAGCATAACAGGGGAGTTGTATGCTCCCTGAATGCCGCACCGGTGAACGATCTGGCTGCCGCCCCTTAGACCCTTTCAAGCTTCCAAACAGTCTTTAAAGGCAACCCCACGTTGAGCACGTTGCAGTAGTCTATACGGGATGTAACCAGAATGTGGACTACAATGACCAAGTTTGACTTCTGAAGGTACGGGTGCAGCTGGCGCACCCTGAGTCCCCTTGGGGAGAGAGAGACAAATATAAATAAAGTTTTATAATATTATTGCCAGTGGTTTTGAAATTATTTATGCCAGTTCTTTTCTTACCCTTGCATGTAGTCCATCTGGCTCTGAAGACTTGAATTCATTTATTCCTTTACTGCCTCCTTACCTATTCTGCAATGCATTTTCCTTTCTGCATCATCTGCTCCATCATCCCCAAGTTGAGCACTATTGATTTTTTGAAAGTATGCTCAGGCAAAGGTATTGAACAGCTCTGTCTTTTCTCTGTTTCCTATTAACATTTCATCAGCATGCATATACAGCGGCCCTACTATTTCCTTCTTTTGCTACAGACATAACCACATTAGCTGTTTTTATTGTTTTTCATGTTTTTAGCAACTCATTCTGTGCTTTAGTTTTTTATAGAGATACCAAAATCATGAGCCATGTCCCCTAGCTGCTTATTTAGATATTTGTCCTTCTCTTTCTTGTACTTCTTGCTCAGTTCTCTCTATTACAGTTGGGGTGGTCTTTCCTGTTAAACTCCCATGTGTGAAATGCTGTCTCCCACTCCCAGATAACTAGGTTTAAAGCCCTCCTGATCAGGTTTGTGAGACTTTTAATAAAAATATTCCTTCCAAGCTCTGTGAGGTGCAAACCATCTCATGCTAGAAGTCCAACTTCATTAAACCACACTTAGTTGGCCATGTCCTTGAACTGGGAGGAGAAGCAAAATAATAATCCAGGCATCAAGACCCTTCAGCTTCCTGCTCAAAGTTTTGAAATCCTGTTTAATACTCCCACATGGACCAAAGGGAAGTGGTAATGGTCTGTGGCCTTTTTTCCCCTTTTTTTTTTGGTGGGTGCTCTGGTTGCCATCAGC